AGGGGGCAATCTGTTGGAGGAGACGGGATGGAATACTTTAACGAGTAGTTAACTTTGGCAAGGAATAAAGAATAAGACTTCCTTATGTGAGACAGGGATGGCAGGAAAGTGGCAGAAGTCATCTGATAGATGAGGGTTTTTGATCACATTGTTCCCTATTAATAAAATTTTATGTGAGTTCTGAGGAGGTTGAAGAAGGAAGAGTTTCATGAAGAAGGTGTCGTTTAAGTTGAGCTTAATAGAATACGCAAACAGGATGTCTTATTTCCCTATTTAATACTATAAACTCTGAGGGTAGAGTTCCTGTCCTATCTGAATTTTGCCTATCTCCTAGTGTTCAGTATTTAATAAAAATTTGTTGAACTGAAAGGCTGATTTTTTTTTACCCAAAATCAGAACAATTTCTTGATAATTAAATCCCTAAGTGGAATGAATTTTCTTGGGAGGTAGTCAGTTACTTATTTCCTAGAAGACTTCTTTTTAAAGCTAATAACCACTTGTTGGGAATGTTTAGAGATTCCTGTTCAGGTATGGATTAGATCATTTGACTTTTCAGGTTCAGGTCTCTTTATATTCTGAGAGTCTATAAATATCCATTAACTGATAGTAGGAGCTGAGATTTGCCCAAAGAACAAAAGGGATTATTTTGTCTTTTCTCTTTAGTAGTTTGTTAGCTGGCCTATTGTGGGTATTCCACCATATTGGGTAGCATCTTAAGACTCTGCTGATCTTTAAAATATATGTATGTGTATGTGTGTATGTATGTGTGTGTATACATACATATATATATATATATTTCTGAAACATAGCTATGAAATATTAAAATATGCATTTATAATTATCTTTTAAAAATAATATCACAGAGCCTAAAGCAATACCAAATATAAGATATATTACAAATTGTTCCTTGAAATAAAGTGCAGTCAAAACATTAGGCATTTCTCTACAAAGCTCAGTAAGTAGTTTTTATCCTTGGAAACAATGTAACCAGATCCAGCAAATCATTTAAAGGGAAACTTGAGTTAGAAACTTTGTATGCATTTTGCAACAAAATACAGTATCAAACATTTGTACTATATGCAACTGAATGCCATAATTTTGAGTCAAAAGTTTGGATATTTGCACTAGCATTGTAACTTTGAAAAATACCTCTTTTTGTTACAGTAATTCACACTATCCAATTGTAACCAATTAGCTTATCATTGAAAAAATATTTCCAAGTCACTGTATAAGAAGTCAAAGAACCTCAAAGTTGGAATGGGATCTCAGACTCCAAAAGTGATTATGCAGACTTTGAAGACATTCTTAATACTATCAATTAGTCAACAAGCATTTATTAAATATTTACTATGTTCCAGGCACTGTGCTAAGCACTGAGGATACAGAGAAAGCCCCAAACTTCATTTTGGGTTATACACAATTTTAATACTTCAGAAATCAAGGAATTTAGTTCTATGACTCAAAGCTAATATCAGGGCTTATTATTCTTTTAGATTCAATTCAACTATGCTTTAACATGTTTTCCCTTAAAGTCTACTTAAAATTGATTCAATTCAGGGGGTCCTACTATACTCAAGGTACTAAGGATACAAAGATTTTTTTAAAAATTATATGTGATAAGAGTAAAAAAAATCTAGATAAAGTATTATGAGGTTAGAAGCAGCAATTAAACGGGGTTAGGTGGAGGGCTGTGAGCAGCAGGCATACTGAAAGTGTGGTGTAATGGAAAGAGCAGATGGCAGCATGGTGTAGTACAGCATTTCCCAAAATATTTTGGCCACAGAACACTTTTGGACTTGAAATGCACTGATGGAACCCATAACGCTGATCTGGGAGGTCTGGAAAAATTCCAGCATAAAGGGAAGGGTAGGAAGTCTACCCTTAGGAAACAGGAAAAGACTATTTTCATAGTGAAAAATTGTACTTTTTTATCATTTCATATTTGAGGAAAAATTATTGACATTGTTAGCAGAATCCTTACATCACACAGAACAGTATGGTAAAAAACGGTACAGTAGAAAGAGCACTATATAAGATACAAGACAGTGAGAAAATGGAAAGAGAACTTCAGGTCACATAATCTGAGTTCAAGTACACCTCTGTTACCAAAATTCTGTTTTTTGAATACTTGAGTCACTTTAACTTTTGTGGACCTCTAATTCCTCAAGGGTAAAACGAGTTTTGGTTGCAAAATATGAGGTCACCAAACTAGATGTTATCTTGCCAAAAGTTAATATACACAATTTTTCTCAAAAACTGTAGGTACTATGAGTGTAGAAGAATCTGTACAGCTTAATGTATGTAAGCCCCTTAACAGCACTATTTTTGTAATCTCTAGACTTATTGCTGCACCTTAGAAGACAGGAAGACCTGAGTTAAATGTCTTTTTCTGATAAACACAAACTGTGTGATCATAAGTGTAGTTTAACCTCTCAATGCCAACAGGAAACTCTAAAGAGTTATCTATACAGGGATTTTCCACACTGGCATAAAATAACAGGAATTTCACTTAGGATCCATTTTGTTGATGATGACTATTAAAAGTAAAAAAAAAACTTTAAAAGTAATTATCATTGCACTTAGAGAATTCTGGACTGGGGGTTAGGAAGACTGCATTCTCCCAGTTTTACCTGAAAGGTGTGGTAGAGTACATGTGAAAGAATTTTTTCAACTTGTCTCAGACACATCCTAGTGATACATGGGATCCTGGACAATTCTTTTAACCTCTCTGGGTCTCCATAAAATGACTTATTGGACTAGATGGCCTCTAAGGTCCTTTGCTGAGTTCTTTTCAGTGGTGTGTGACCTCCTTTGGGGTTTTCTTGGCAAAGATACTGGAGTGGTTTGCCATTTCCTTCTCCAGCTCAAAGCTGATGAGGAAACTTGAGGCAAACAGGGTTAAGTGACTTCCTCAGGGTCGCACAGTCTGAGGCCACCCTGACTCCAGGCCAGGCACTTCATCCACTGTGCCATCCAGCTGCCCATCTAAGGTCCATAACAGCTCTAAAACTATAATTCTATATCATCTATTCCCAAACTGTTGGTATTACAGATTATGACCCCTTATTTTACAGACTAACTGGGGTTGAGATTAGATGATTTATTCAAAGGCCATGAGACTCGCTTAGGGACTGTGCAGTGGAAAAACTGTTGGCATTTGAAGTGTGGGATCTGGATTCAAATACCACTTATTTACTTAACCTCCCTGAGCCTTTGTTTCCTCATCTGTAAAATGAAGAGGGGTCAGGGGGAATTGTAGGGAGGGAACTAAATGTTTTTTTTAAAGGTCCTTTCCGCTGCCCTCTACAGCTGCGATCCCACACCTAGGTTCTTACCTTTTCCCACCACACGACCTACCCCCTCATCTGTCACCTTATGACATTTTAGCGGGTGTTTAGGGCCTTCCCCACGATACCCCCTTCACCCCTGGTGTACCGCACCATCGAACCAGCTCAGCTGGAAGTGCTGAAGCCCTAGTCCAGAGGGGCCACCCCAAGTTTTCCGCGAAGCATTCGGAGGAGCCAAGGGCAGCAAGGCCAGAATGGTCCAGACTCCCTCGGCCAGCATTACCTGGGAACGAGGCCCCAGCAGCGATGTGGGCACGGCCTCGGGCCCACTTTGTACTGGCTTTGCAATGAGGGAGCAGCTGGCCTATCACCGAGGGTAGCTCATGTCCCCGGAGAAATAAAACGGTCTGACACCGGAATAACGTGTCAACACTACCCCGGGCACAGGAGCGGGTCCTCCGCCCGGGCCGAGTCGATATGGGGACAGGTGGCCACACTTCCCTCACCCTTCCTCCCCTCCCAGCCTGGGTGTCGGCAGGTGCCGTTCCTCTCTCGCTCCACAGTTCTACTCTCTCTCAGCTTCGTAGCTGGGGAAGGCGAACAACTGACTCTCCTCGCGAACGTAAGCAGCGGGGATCAAATCTCTCGACCGGGACCGCCTCCCCAACGCGCTCAGGTCTCTCGCTCACTTTTAAAATGGCGGCCGCGGCGCCGTGAGCTTGGCACGCGCACCTTCTCTACCGCCCCCCCCAACCCCCCACCTCCTGTTAGCTATCTTCCCCCCCGCCCTCCCCTCCCACACCATACACACACCCCCTCAGCGCCGCTCGCCTCCGCTCAGTGCCTTCTGGGGGCCGGCAGGAGACCGGGAAAGCAGGAGGCTAGAGAGTGAGGGAGGGGGAGGGAATGAGGGAGGCAGGAAGAGACTAGAAAACTCTTGTCCCGCGCGGGACCAGGGAACCCTAGAGCGCTAAGCTGCTCAACGACTTGGAAGAAGAAGAAGGAGGAGGAGGAGGAGGAGGAGGAGCAGCAGCAGCAGCAACTAGGAACGCCTGCGCCTCAATTCCAGGAGAGGCGGTAACATCCGGGCTACTGCCCCCCCTCGGAAGTGACGTAGCCGCAGGGGAGGCCACTCTCCGAAGCGCCCGTTTCGCTTTACCGCCTACCCTGGCCAGCGCCATGTCCCACCGCCCTCTACCGTGACTGGTTTCTCCCCCACCCTTTCTTTCGTTTGAGACGAAGCGGAGAGGGCGGGTGGGGGGGAGGTTGTTTCCTCCCTTCAAAGCTATTCTGTTGAGCCATTAGTCTTTTTTTCCTGGAGACACGAGGTCTCCAAACCTGTCAAGGCACCTTCTGCTGTCATCTTCCCCATTTCCTAGTTTCGCCTGCAGAAGCAATAGTGTTGGTTCGAAAGGAGCTTCTGGTTTCTCCCTCTCTCTCGCCCCCCTCTCCCCCCGCCCAGGTCCCTTCCCGTCATTTCGACTCCCTAGATTATCCTTCCCCCACGCCTTCTCCCCACTCCCACCGTGAAGTGTCAGTCACCGGGCCCTGAGCCCGCCTCTTCCGGCAGCGGTGGCTCTCAGGTTCGGTTGCCTCCTCCCCTCTTCCCTCCCCCAACCCCCCTCCCCGTGTGTCTCCCTCTCCCTCCTCTCTCCCTCTCTCTCTCTCTCTCTCCCTCTCTCTCCCTCTCTCTCTCTCTTTTGTGAGTTATAGCAACCGTTGCCTTGTGAATCAAGCGCCATAGTCACCGTAGTCCTGGCGACTGTTACCCATCAACAACAACTACTCCTCTCCTCCTCCTCCTCCTCCTCTTCCTCCTCCTCCTCCCCACCACCACCATCTCCATCACCCACCAACAACACCACAATAATCCACAGCCAAGGTGAATATTATTCTATATCTACATGTGTGTGGGAGCGTGTGGATGTGTGTGTACGCGTGTGTCCGTGCGTGTGTATTTGTGTGTGTGTGTGTGTGCGCGCGCGCGTGTGTGTGTCTCACTCTTCTGCTGCTGCTGCTTCTCCTCACACCCCGGGGGCTGCTGCTGCTGCTGCTTGCTGCTGCTGCTGCTGCTTACTGCTTGCTGCTGCTGCTGCTGCTGTTGGGGCTTCTCCTCTCTTGCTGGAGCTTGTTTACAATTTATATTTACTAACTATATACATAGACTAGGATGTGTGTGTGCGTCTTGCGCCCCCCAGCCAGCCCCAACCCCCCTGCCTCTCTGGTTGCACTTTAGGGATGGAGTGTGATCTGGGGGGTCTGTGGGGAGTGGGAGAGGGAAATACAGTTTTCTGATTGGTATTGTGGAATATTTCTGATCTCAGGGTTGAGGAGGAGGGTCAGGTGGAGAAACCAGAAATTTTCCCCCCTTTCTTTTTTCCTTTTTTAAACCTGTATGTTTCCTGCTTTTTTTCAAAACCGAAATAGATTACAATATGCAGGAGGAGCCAGAGGTATTTTTTGTTGTTGTTCACTTGTAGGGCCTGGTATGGATTTTTTCCCCTTTAACCTCAAACATTGGTGAACTTTTCCCACCTCTTATTTTCTTCATTCTGTCCTCTCTTTGCTTTGTGATAAATGGGGTATTCTTCTTTAATCACCAGCAGTTTCATTGTTTTCTTTTTCTTTTAAAACTGTATTTTCTTTGTGCTGCAAACAGTCTTAATATCCATTGAGTACTCTTCTCCCTTGTGTTTCTCCCCCCCTCCAAACCCCCCCCCCCACCTCCACACACACTGAAGCCAGGGGCCTCTTTACTGTGCTCTTGCTGCTTCGGAGAAAGAGAATTTTTTTAAGTGTCTTTTTTGTGTGTGTGTGCTTGTGATTTAAACCGGATGCAGAGCATCTGTGATAGTTCGGTTAGTAGTTATTGACAGAGCTTTATCTTCATGTGGAGATGGGAGGGGTGGTAGTGAGGTTCCATTTCACTTTGATAAACCTCCAAATAGTGAAGAAGGTCTTACTAATTTACATTGAGGTTACAGGACTGTGTTTTAAATAGATAGGACAGAAGAAAGCTTTGAGAGAATTCAGTTTATAATGGTATTTGTTAGTTATGGTACTTTGAGCTTTTTTCCCCCCCTTCTCTGTTCATTTTCCTTTGAGAGTTGAAATTGAAGTCAAGTTGTTCATAAAGAATGTATGAAGCTTCTCAACTTGAAACGTGTGTATATTTCCCTTACTTTGTGGTTTAGATCTAGAGACTTCTATTCTTAACGTTTTCTTTGTATTTACTTTTTTGTTTTCACTGGACATCAAATTTGTTTAAATACTCTTATCAATTTAGAGGGCCATTACTTCTGAAATATTTATATTTATATATTTTTTCTGTGTAGATAGACAAGAGATTAGCTCTCAACCGACAGGGTTGATCTTTAGAGTTAACCCAGTTTTACAATGCAAACTCCTTAAATTTGTATGTTGTATAGTGTAACTTTTAATTAACTAATTAATAGGAATGTGCTATTTTGTTAATGTACATTTGTGAAAATACATGTAATTTCCTATTTTAATTGCACATATTTTGTTTTCCGATGTGGAACTTGTTAAATCATGACTTGAATATGCCTTGGTTCCTTGTAACAACCCCAACCAAAAAGACATTGATTTCACTTTAACTGATAGGGCAGACTGAAGAATATGACAGTATTGAGACTGTAAAATGTTATGCAGGTTAGATAATTGTAATGCTTAAGTAGGACTAATCTTTTGCCAAATGAGGGTTTTGTTTCTCTAAGTTTTATTCCTTAAGTTTTATTTCCTGTGAATGCTTTATATAAGTGTGGTCTGAGAGCAGTCTTTCTCAAAGGATCCTGGTACCTTTATGGTTTATCTTTCTGGATGTCGAATCTGTAACCCTAACTTTGTGTTCTTTTTTGGTCAGAAGAGTGTCAAATGCCCCAATGGTTTCTGATCCTGAAGCTCCTGGGTCTCATAAACTCTTACTAAAGTTAATAGGAGTTTTGCTTTCTTAGATACAGGTTCAGACTTTATGTCATTTGCATAATGGGGTTATCAGTAGAATGAGTAGACTATGGTATAATGTTATGGTTTAGTATTTTAATGTTCAGGATGCAAGAATTTGCATCATGTTAAGGGACTTATAACCATTGCACACAGATTTTGGGCTTAAAAAAATCAGTGGCATGTTGATGTGAGCACAGAACTTTCATAGATGTAGCAAAACTATTAGTTAAAAAGAGATTATTGGTAAAGTTACACTCACAGAAGATTATTTCCACTTAAAAGTGAGTCAACTTCATTTACATAGGCATAAATGCTGAGGATACTGGCAGATTCGTTAACTTTAAAGATAATTACAGTTAATATAGTGAGTGATTTTGCTTCTCATTTTGATTATTGCCATCTTAATGTTTCTTAGGAGGGTTCTATAAGTAGATATTCTTAAGTTTTAGACCTAGCAAGTGATCATGCCTACCATTCTTTGAAAGTACAGTGATTTGGAACACAAACCCAATAAAAATACTTATATATTGTTTTATGTAGTTGAACATTTATGATTTAATTTTTGTTTTAATGGCCTAATATATTCGATATATATCTTGAGCTTTCTGAATTGTTTGCAGTATTTGTCCTGGTTTATTAGTTGAGTTAAAAGAAAATAGATAATTTTTGAGTCTTTTGTTTATAAGTATTAAACCAAAATCCATTCATTACAGTCATAGTTCCCCAATCTTTTCATGAAATCGGAAAGTTAGGCCTACTTCATATAATAAATACTATACCTTTTTTCCATCATTCAGATAGACTTGTGCTGTAATCATAAGGTTTTTAAATGTTCCAAACCTTTCATTCTAAAGTACTTTATACCCTATTACATTAATAACATGGCTTTTGAAACATTGAAATTTATTTTCTTTTTTTAAGCAAACAAACTGGAGATTCAAAATAAATGTAGTAATCTATCAAAGATAAAGTCTGTGCTTTATTTGAGTACTGGCACATGTTGCTAATTGATAACTTTTTTTTAATCATTCTTTTAAAAATCAGATTGGAGTGTGCTTTCCTCTGAACTTTCTACAGAAAAAAAAAACTGTAGGCGGAATATAAAGACTTCACTTCTTTAGATTCTGAATGTGTGTTTTTCTTAGTTAAATGGTTAGCTAGCTAGCTCATCAGAAGTGTAGGAAGGATAAAAGCAAACTTAGAACAATACAACAGGAATGCTACTCTTGATAAAGTTATACAGAAAATAAGGACATTCATTACGTAGGTACTTACATTACTGAAGAAATAAACTTAAAATTATGAATAGCATCACATAATCATTTTGTGTGCTAAGTATGGGGATAAAGAAAGTCATATCCTTGCTTTAAAAATGAATACTTATAGTTCCTCAAACAGATATTTTTGCTGACTGGTATTATTTGTACATCCTTAGAATGATCACCACAAAATACATTTTGAGTTCTCTTCTCACAGGTGCATAGTGCTCCCATATTTTGGAAATCCAAGATTAAGTGGATCTGACTAAATCTAGCTTGTTAGGGACAGATGGCTTCTTTAAACAGGTGTCACTTTCATTTCTAGTGCATTGTGTTGGGACTTCCAGTGGCTCACAAAAGGGCTGTCTAAAGCAGGTGGCATCCTTTGCTTTTGTCATTAGTAAAATCTACTTTCAAAGCTAATTATTTTCTCAGGAAGAGGTACTTTTTAGTAAGTGTTTTTTAAAATAGTTTAAAAGTCTTGTAGTTACTAAATACAACATTTCTTTTTTTATATCTTTGTTTGTAAGTAGTATAACATGAACCTTTTTGTGAATCATTTAATTTTTGATAATATTGCTTAACTTCTTTTGAATACACAAAGCAAATTCAAAAGTTATCTGGCAATTCAAATAATGAGGTAATTTTGCAGGGCAAGAAGCCACAGCAGTTGGAAATGAAATACAATTTGGTTACCATGACAAGTGAGCTCTAACTTTCACATATGATGTCGTATTTTTTTAATATAGCATATTATAATGTTAATATTTTGTATCTGAAACAGGTGAAATTTTAGTAGTTTTATTATATCTTTTTTTAAACTAATTTATAGATGAAAACATTTTAAATCATCTTAATAGCAGATATTAAGGTTTTCAGGAGCATTTTTAAAAAGTATTTTAGGATAAGTTTCAAAAATAAAATTCTGTGTTCAACTACTAAATGAAGCAAAATCCACCCATTAGTCTTTAAGGTCCCTTTCAATGCTATCCTCATTGTGGGAATTTTATATTTCCTATAGCAAATGCACCAGAGGGTGCTATACTATTTGAATTGCCGTCACCAAGCAACATGAACTTATGTGGACTTTTAGTTTGTGGAAAAAAAGACATCTTTAAAAAATTATGGGCACCTTTAAGCTTATATTGGCCTGAGATTGTATAAGAAAATTGAACATAGTGTAGTTTTTAGAAGCTCTGCATAAAATATACCATTTCATTATTGGTAATGTGTCAGTGTAACATATACCAATATCAAGACCTAATCCTTATTATATAATTTAATTAAAAATGAAAATATGAAAATGTTAGCTTTACTTGTGTAGTAGAGTGCACACTGATTTTTAGTATGTTAATCTTTGTGTCCTTTAGTTTACCTGACTTGAGATTTATGTCATTTTTTGTAGTATGCATTCATAATATGGTGCCTTCTAAATTTGTTAATACACATCAATATTGTTCACTTTCATTTAACACATATCAGAAAATCAAATTATATATAGAAATTGTGCTTTTATTTTTTATGGAATGACTTAAGGCTGTCATTAGACTGTACCAAAGAAGTAAAAATTTAATTGTTTCAGTTTAATTAAATTAATGTAAATGAACTAGAGAATTTTTTTCATCCAAATTCACTCTGGTCCTGACTAACCTGGTTT